CAGACAACACATCGCTCGAACAGAAAGGACAAAAAAAATGACCGAGTAATAAATAGGAAAACAGAACGGACCACTTTTCCAAGTTCTCTCCGACTCTCCACTTTGAAATGGCTGGCTATAACTCTTTGAAAATCAATTTAAACTCGCTCAAAATTCTTTTCATAACCACAGTTTGACATGAGAAATCCGAATATGTTAACGGATTTGTATTCAATGATGCTCTGTGTGAAAAGATGCTTGATCCTCACAGAATTCCTCTCAAGATTTAATAAAAAGTGATTTGTACAGTTCTTCTTTCACTCATTACTCTCGTATGATTCTTATTTTTTTTCTGTTCCGCTTTTTTCATCATTCTTACTCAATCACAGAAACGATTATTCATTCTCTTCCTTTCCTGTGTGATGCAATTTTCTTGCACGAGACTCTCAGCAGAAGGAAAGAACTGTATAAATGCACATCTCCCCTCCTCGCAACTAACTCTCACACACACCCAAAAGAAATGACAGACGACACCGTTAACCTAAGATATTACATGCACGGCACAACTGACACCTGCCGTATTAATGATCAAACTCTTACTGATGATCAAGTTGAATTCATCTCCTTAAACTTACCGTCCAGTTGCACATCACTGAGTTTATCTCGTACCGAACTAACGGAAACTGGTATCAGTTATCTAGCAACAACTCTCCTGTTACGTGGTAATAGTAATAAATCGAATTTAAAATTTCTTTCTCTATATAGTACAAAATTGACAGATGAAGGAGTCCGGCTTCTGTGTCGGGCATTGATCGATGGTCAAAATACGAAACTTCAATACTTATACATACAATCGAATGAAACAATTACAGAAGTTGGTGCACATGAAATAGCACAGATGCTGGAAGTGAATCAAGGTTTGGAGATGTTAGATCTGAGTTATACTTCGATTGCTCGTCAAGGTGTATTTGAAGTGTGTAAAATCGTTGGAGATGAAGAAGAATGTGACATTGAAGTGTTTGGATATTAGTTTCAATCTTACGTCGAAAGAGAAAAAAGATGATAGGGATCTGAATGAACTGTTGGAGAGAGTTGGTGAAAGAGTGAGGTTAGTGGACTATTCATTCTTTTAAAAGAGAAATGTCATAATTGTATTTATCGCATAAAGGTTTTCTTTGCAAATATAAACCATGACTGTCTAGTTTTCAGCTTTTTCAAGGTTACTTGGAAGGGAGCATGAAAGCACTCCGGTGTCAAGAAGCACGAATCCAGTGTAGTTAAATAAGTCAATCTAAACAATGATGGTGGCCTAATTGCAAAAGTCTGTAGCCACGATAATAACATTAGTATGACAAGTTCCGCCTCGATATTCACGCAAATTAGGTACAGTTCTAATTTAGAACAAGACAACCCTCGGTTTGCTGTTATTTTGAAAGTGAATAATACCCGTACACGAAATTCATATAAAAAACCGGTCCAAAATACGGGTCACACCGGTTCATTTTCAAGCAGGAAAATCGGTGAAAACCGGCGGTTTGCGACACAATAACTGCTCTCTCGTATAAAAACCGCGGGTGTCTTTTTTTTCATTTTCTAAATCGCTGCGGGTATAACAACGGTTCTCGCCGGTAATTTTTTGTTAAAAATGGCAGAGATCGGCGTGTGCTCAACTGAATAAAATCGCTCCCTTTTCGAGCGAACCGCAGCTAAAGGCGGTTATTTTTCTTGAAAACTGCGGTTCACCGAGGTTAGAAACAACTGCAATCCGCTAATGTCGACGGTTATTCGTCAGAAAGGGAACGATTTAATCACTCCCTTTTTCGAAATAACCGCAGATGAAGGCGGTTATTTTTCGAAAGAAAATTCTTTCACAGATTTCTCTCTCTTTGAAAAATATCTCCCGATTTTCAGAAAAATCTTTCAGATAAATCACTCTCCCTTTGAATAATACTTTCATTTTCTTTTTTCTACAAGTCTGTCCGTCTCTGTCGTGTCTGTTCAAAAAATTGTATATAAGGCACACTCATTTCCAATACTAGTCACCAGTTCACAAGCATTTACTGATGAAGATAATTCGAAACGCGTTTAAATTCTTGTGAGTACATTTTCTGTTTTTCCTTTTATTAAATATTCGTCGTCGTTTTTACAAAGTACATATATTTTTTATACAAAATAAAACTAAAATTTCAAAAGATCTCTTTTTGTTATTATTTATTCAAGCAACATTCTCTTCTTATTTCTCGCGCTTTATTTCACCTTTCGTACTTCTCTTAGTACACAAAAAAATTAAAAAATCAAAAAACCAACTTTTCGAAAGAAATTTGGTAAGCTTTTCCTTTCCTTTTCGTTATCTTTCCGCTTTACTTCTCTTCTTCTTCGACTTATTATTAATTGTCAAACAACCTTTTTTTGTTTTTTTAACTTTTCAGCAATTCTTCCACGATTTTGATCATTTTTCGCAAGTCAGCTTCACTTTTCCGTTTTCCAGCTTACATTAATATGTTGATTCCAAAGGTGCCAGACAGCGAGTTTATGAGGAATCGTTTGATCTCGTGCTATCGAAAACGCTTGGTTTTTCCCAGTGAAATATAATCATCTTCTTGCGTTTCGTAGAAAACGACTTACCTGTATTGGGTAGATTGCATGATCTCCCTATTTTTCGGTGATAAGGGTGTCCCTGTTTGTTGCTATCGTATTCCATCATATCTGATTTCTTCCAAGTATCATCAAACGGTTGTCAATATTAACCGATGTCAAGCAGACACAGTCGTAATCGGAGAAATACGGCGTGTTGACATCGCCCAATATTGCGATAATATAACTCTGTGATCGTATGTGTAGAAATATGATCGTTTATTAACAACAAAGCTCGTATACGGCTTTCGTTTTATTCTGTATTTCTTCGTATACGATTATATTTCTCCGTGTACGGTTTGAAGATATATGATCGTCCAAAATCTGATTATATACGGAGAAATCGAGGAGGAGAGAGATTACTTCATTTGACAGTACATCAATTGCGTAAGGTAATCTAGCAGTATACCACGGTATCTGTAATCACTCCAGCAATTCTGAAGGATCAGATATTGCTGGATATAACATAAAAACTTTTATCGGTATCTGATAAGTAGCAGTCTTTAACTTATGACATCATACTGTCAGACGCTATCTTGCTGAAGAAATCCCATCGGATCTGACAGGATTCTAGGGTAGGCCTAGCCACCTTGAAAGCTTCTACCATTTTGACGCATGCGTTACTCTACGAGTTAGCTATCCATTGTTAGATTCATATCACAAGCTTCCCTAAGGCCGAGAAAAATGGTCAAGAAATGTGAGCTCGAGATTATAATTTTACATGTCAATCTTAACCAGAAAAACTTGCTAAGACCGTGAGAGAATGACGACTTCACATCGGAAATATAATTGAGTGATTTTACCTCCGTTAGAGAGCTATAAAAATTGGATCCCAATGATGGATATATAACATCACTGAAATTGATCAATTAAGTCATATACGTTAGCCACCTTAGGTATACAATTCGACCGATCGGCACATCAGTTTGTGTTATGTGATCTTTTTGTATGATAAGGGGTGGGCCAGAAGTCCTGACTCGATTTGTATAATAAATTTTTCTTTAACAAAACACCTGGTTGAAAATCCGTCTCTATAAAGGAAAGATGCAGTAAAACACGCGCTACAAAATGACTTTTGATTGATCCCGCTAGCTCATGTAGTAAGAAAGTTATAGGCTTAGAAATGTGCTTCACAAAAAATAAAAATTAACCGTGAACCCGGTCTCAGTATTTTTGCTCTTACTCCTGTTCCTTATGTTCCCTAGAACAAATTCTTTTTTTAATAGAAGTGCTGTGAAATTCTCTACAAAATCATACCTAAACTTTAATTCCAGAATTTCAATCAATAAAACTAAGCAAATTATACGCGAGGCGAAAACAATAAAAACTTTGTAAAGGAGGGGGGTCGTTAAGACCACGAATCGGCTCCCTCTCAAAAATGGGTTTTTGATGTTCATACAAGGGGGAAAAAGCTGATTTGAAGCTCTTTTCGATTTTGGCCGATTTTGAACGATTTAAATCGATTTTGGACCACCGAAATCGATTTCAATCGGTTCTAGTCCACTGCGATAGATTTAAGTCGATT